TTAGACTTAAACGAAGCCCGAACTTGCTTCCCCTTTTGACATGCATCACATATGGTGTCTTTTTCAAACTTAAGTTTTGGGATGCCAATTACTAAGTCTTGTGAAACCAATTTGTTCAAAAGGTTCATGTTCATATGAGCTACCCTTCGGTGCCATAGCCAAGTGTCTTCCTCTTTACTCATGAGGCACTTAGCAAAGCCGGAAGGAGATTTGTCTAAGTTAACCATATAAATGTTATCGATTCTCTCACCACGTAGAATGACCTTATTGTCACTAAGGCGTTCTACAGTGCATGATTTTGAATCAAAGGTCACACGGTTTCCCTTGTCACATAATTGACTTATGCTCAAGAGATTGTGTTTAAGACATTTGACTAGCAAGACCTACATTATCTATAGAGGAGTCTTCGGACTTACCTACTGAGCCGACGCCAATAATCTTTCCTTTGCTATTATCTCCAAAGACTACGTTTCCTCCTTTAGCGGGTTTGATTTGTAGGAACTTTGATGCATCTCCGGTCATGTGTTTGGAACATCCGCTATCAAGGTACCAAAGTACACTTGACGCCTTCAAGCATACCTACAAAGATGATTTAATAAGATTTAGGTACCCAAGTCTTTTTGGGTCCTTGAGTGTTAGGTGCAAAGTGGTAGTGTGATTCATTTTGTGCCCAATGCCTATGCCTAGTAAAGCAAACAGGAGCTATGTGTCCTACCCTATTGCAATAGTGGCAGACTACGTTTGGGTTGTGTATCCTCCTAGGTTGATAATAGTTGCTAGGGGGCCTAACCATATTCATCCTGTTTTGAGAAAGTATTGGTTTTTGAAAATTTTCCCTTCTAGGTGTCCTAGAATTATTTTGTCTATTTGAAAAATTATTTTTGTGCAGAAAATCATTTTGATAACTTTTCCTAGATTGTCTAGCATGCACATTTTCATTCCTAGGTTTTTGTCTAGGTTGTCTAGTGTCCTTAGTTTGACTAGATTTTCTATTATTCTGATTTTTAATCTTCTTGCGTTGAGCCTTATTAGATTGTCTAGGTGTGTGCTCAACGTTTTTATCCTTAGATTCATTTTTATCAAAGCCTATTCCTTCCTTAGAAAAATGCATAGTGTCAAGAAGTAAGTTAAGATCTTTGTGTGGTGTATTAAACTTATTAACCGTACTCTCAAGTTTTGCAACCTTTTCTTTTAAAGTTTTGCAAGATTCACATTCACTTGAAAAACTTTCCGGTTTGTCAGTGCTTCTTTTACCATAAAATTTATTTTCTTGTTTCAACTTTTCATTATCTTTTTCCAGTTTTTCAAAATCATTTTCAAGGGTTGAAAGACGTTTCTTTAATGATTTGTTGGTTTTAGAAGCGCTAACAAATTCATCATAAAGTTCTCAAAGAGCTTCTTGCATCTCTTCAAAAGTGTAAGAGTCGAAAGAAATGGTACATACCTCTTAAACGTCGTCGGTTTGGTCTTCGTGCGCCATGAGACAGAGGTTGGCGGCTTCTTCCTCTTCTTGATCGGTTGACTCGTCACCAGAGTCGCCACCCCATGAGATATAAGCACGTTGCTTTTTGAAGCCAGGTTTGTCCTTGCCGCTTTTGCCTTTTGGACACCTCGGCTTGATGTGGCCTATCTCGCCACAGCCATAGCACTTCGGGGGACCGTCGTGCTTTCTTCCTTTGCGCTCAAATTCCTTCTTCATAAATTTGTGGAATTTCTTGATGACGAGTCCGAACTCGTTGTCATCATCGCTTGAGTCATCTTCCACGTTTTCCTTGGTTGCTTTCAGTGCTATTCCCTTCTTCTTTTGTTCATCCAAAGACGGGGTTAGAATAGTAGATTCATAAGTTTTGAGGTTACCTCTTAACCCGTCGATGGTGACATTTGAGACTCCAATGGATTCGTAGATTGCATCTGCCTTTGATCTCCATTCGGGTGTGAGACTTCGCAAGATTTTCCTCACGAGATCCTTGTTGGCGTACGTCTTCTTGAGAGCATGAAGGTCGTTGATGATTTTTGAGAACCGATCGAACATGTCATCGATCTTTTCGCCTTCCTTCATCCTGAACATCTCGTACTCCTGCGTTAGGAAGTCAATTTTGGCTTCCCGAACTTGGTCCGTACCTTCATATGTGACCTCCAGCTTGTCCCACATTTCTTTTGCAGTGGTGCAGCAAGAGATCTTGCGATAATCATCAGGATTGACGGCACAGTACAGCATGTTGATTGCCTTGGCGTAGTTCTCCACCTTTTTGATGTCCTCGGCATCAAATTCGTCCTCGGTCTTTGGGACGAGTTTTTCACCGACCTTCTTTGTTGGAATTTCCTCGCAATTCTTGATGACCAACCACAACTGAAAGTTGGTTGAGCGGATATAAATTCTCATCCGTTCTTTCCAGTATGTGTAGTTGGTGCCATCAAAAAGCGGTGGCCTAGAGGTTGATTGACGTTCTCGAGTTCCTGCATAAAGATTTCTAGAAGAAGAACCCATGATCGCTTTACTCTCAAACGGTTAAGTTTGGACGCGAGTTAGGCTCTGATACCAATTGTTAGAATAATAGACCAACGCTAGAGGGGGGGTGAATAGCGTTTTATCGGAGAAATCGCAGGAATTAAAAAATTAAAAGAGAAGTAAAGAGAAGAGTAATAAGGCACACCGAATATAATTTTACCCTGGTTCACCACAACTTGTGGCTAACCCAGCCTCCCGAGAGACTCTCTCGAGCTACACTACTATCTCGTTAAGCTTGCGGGTGCTTAACAAACCGTTACAACTTGAGAATTCAAGTTACACGAACCTCAACGAATCCTTCAAAGGAAAGAGACCTTCCTTTGAATCAACCGAGAGAGATACTATCGCTCAACGTGTCTAAGAACACAAGTACACTCAAGAACGAGACTCTCTTATAGAGTAGATTATGAGTAAACTAAGTACGCTCAAGAACAACTCAACCTTCACACAAAAATGGCTCTAGAAAGCTATGGAAAATGATGATCTTTGAATGCAATGAGAGTATAGATGTTGTGAAGTGAATTAGTGAGAAAAGCAGACCCAAACACCCCTTTTTATAGTGCCAAAATAGGCTCCAACGGACCAATGCATTAAAGGGGTGATTGGCTTGATTTATGGGATTGAAAAGATTTGGGATCTGCAGGATATTGGCTTCCCATCGATGTTTAGGACTTACCCATCGCTGGTAAGCCAATTTTCCTTCAGTTTTGAAGTCAACGGTTACCTACCCATCGATGGGTACAAGCTTCCCATCGCTGGGTGGGAGGTTGACTTCCAAACAAGGAAAAAATCAACCTTAAATGACCTCCAACGGTCATGGCTTCCCATCGATGGTGTATACTTACCATCGCTGGGTTCCCATCGATGGGATAGGTTTCCCTTCGCTGGGCAAGGTTGTTCTGCCTTGTGTTAATTTTGCACCAAGGCTTTTACAGCGATGGGTAGAACTTCCCATCGCTGTTTGGCATGGTTCTGGAAATTCGTTTGGCTAAGGGACCGCTTACCCATCGATGGGAAGATCTTCCCATCGCTGGGTGGGTGGTTAGTCAAGAACCCATGGTTTTTGCCTTAACCACGGCCTAGCCAACCGATGCAAAAACCGACCGAAAAATCCAAAGTTCTCCTAAATAAAAACCAAGTGTTTAAAACACTTATTTGATGTATTTGGCTAAGAAATCAAGTAAGACACTTTAAAAACCACGTCATTTGAGTGAAAAACACGGCTAGCCAAGTTTATGTCGTTTTGAAAGATTTTTGTCAAACGACCAAAAGAGAAAGATGGTTTTCAAGGTGTTTTTGTTGGAGAATCGTTTAAACATGCCAAAGAGTAGAAACCAATCATAAAAAGTTGAAAACCACTCGGTTGGTTCGGACGCCAAAAACCAATGCCGATAACCGAAAGCCGAACGCCGGTTTCTGAAACCCGAACGCTGGATGGCTTGGTTTTTGGTTTGGGCGAACACCAAGTGTTTTTAATGACTTAAACAAGTTTGAAAAACATTTTTATGATTTAAGAAATGCAATGAAGGATTTTAGCCTAAAGAGCCAAGGTGTAAAGATTGGGTCGGTCTTGATCACAATGAAGACCGACTCAACGACACTAAGACTAAGGTCTTCGTTCTTGGTCTTCTTTTAGCTCTTCTTCTTCTCTTCATTCTTCGCCTTGTATATTCAATGTTTGACTTGATCACGGTGGTTTGGCATTATCAAAACCTGTCATAAAAACAAACACAGCTTTAGTACAAAAACGTGACATGCCCGTGTTTCAACACCTTTGTCTCATAGCTCAAGAAGAAGAGGAGTCCGCCAACAACAAAAGCCAAGAGGTATGTAATTCTTCTACCGTTTCTTATTCTCTTGAAGAAATGCAAGAAGCTCTCCAAGAGCTTTATGACGACTTTGTTAGCGCTTCAAAAACCAACAAAGTTTTAAAGAAACGTTTTTCCAAGAAGCGGAAGGAATGCTCGTCACTTCAAAAGGCAAAGAGCATACATCTCTTGGGGTGGAGACTCCGGCGATGAATCAAGCAAACAAGAGGAAGAAGAGGAAGCAAATATTTGTCTCATAGCTCAAGAAGAAGAGGAGTCTGCCAACAACGAAAACCAAGAGGTACGTAGTTCTTCTACCGATTCTTATTCTTTTGAAGAAATGCAAGAAGCTCTCCAAGAGCTTTATGACGAGTTTGTTAGCGCTTCTAAAACCAACAAAGCTTTAAAGAAACGTTTTTCTAATCTTGAAATTGAGTTTGAAAAACTTCAAAAGGAAAATGAAAAAAGAGGAAAACAAATTTTATGGTAACTGAAGCGCCGACAAACCCGAGAGCTCTACAATACATTGTGACTCTTGCATAGCTTTGAAAGAATAAGTTGCTGAATTAGAAAACACGGTGAAGAAATTTAATAAACCACATAAGGATCTTAATCTCATTTTTTATTCTATGCAATACACTAAACAAGGAATAGGTTTTGGGAAAATTGATGAACCTAAAAATAAAGAAAAAGTTGAGCACAACCGTAAACCACCTAGAGCTCAACCTAAGAAAGATAAAAATAAAAATAATAGACAACCTAGACAAAAGGTTAGTCATGAACACAAGCACTCTAGGCAACCTAGGAGGAATTATCAAAATGATTTTATGGACATAAATAATTTTTCAAATAGACAAAATAATGCTAGAACACCTAGAAGAGAGAATCTTCAAAATACCCAAAAACCAATATTTTCTCAAAATAGGATGAATATGGTTAGACCCCCTAGCTATTACCAACATAGGCATATGTTCAACCCAAATGTAGTATGCCATTATTGCAATAGGGTAGGACATATAGCTCCAGTGTGTTTCACTAGACATAGGCACTTGACCTTTAATGAAACACACAACATATTTAGTGCTAACGAAATGAAATCCTTTGGAAAAGGATATTTGTATCATAAACAATCTCCACAGGATAATGCACAAAAGAAACCTTACTATTTCTTCTACTTTGACGAAAAGAAGAAAGTCCACATTCCGTTACCGGGACCAACACAGACCACACTGAGATATCGGCACTCCGTTCAAGTAGACTGTGTTAGTCGGTTTATTCGTTGTGCCCACGCCTTAGAGGGGGGGTGAATAAGGCGTTTTAAAATCTTTTCGGAGTTAAATAAAAACGGTGTTGGCAAATGCGGAAGCAATAAGTAAAACACAGAAATAAAAGCGTTAAGTAAAAGACACACCGATTTTATACTGGTTCGGGAACTCCCTACTCTAGTACATCGAGGCTCCTCCTCAAGGATTTCCGAATCCACTTAATCTCGGTCTCTTGAACTCCGTCAAAGCACCACACTAGTTTGGCAAACAACCCTTGCCAATAGGATTCACTCCGAGATTTTACAACGGCTATCTCGTACCGTTCCCCCAAGGATTTCAAAGGCTATCCTTGAACCTTTACCCAAGGATTTATACGGCTATCCTTAACCGTTACAACGTGAGAATTTAACGACTATTCTCAACCGTAAGAAGGTGTGTTTGAAAAAACACAAACAAGAGTTCTACACAACGGCTTGAATATAAAAATGAAGAACAAAACTTAGCCGGTGTAGAAGGAGATTATACTCTCTCAAAAATACAATACAAACTTATGAATATGAGAGTATATAACTAGAAACACAAGCTCAAAGTGTGTGTATAAAAATCAGGGATTTAAGGCTCTTGAAATAGCCAAAATATTGAAAATAATTAATAAAAGAATAAACACACTTAGAATATAAAGGGAGGATGTTTAGAGCTTTTTTTCTTGAAGAAATATGAAGGATTAGGCTTGTATTTATAGTAGAAGATGTTAATTAGCCGTTGGGAGGTGATTAGGTTTGATTTAATTCAAATTTCGCAATTAGGAACAGTGCTATAACGGATCCGGTACCCTTCACGGTAGGGGGGTCCGTGTCATATGGTACCTGGGTACCGTGACACGGTACGGCCTACCGTTTGGGGGTACCGTATATGCCAAACTTTGGTTCGTTACTGGCGGTACCTTCTTAGGACGGGGTGGCCTACCGTCCATGCCTCCCGTACGGTACCAGGGTACAGTTACACGGTATGGGGGTACCGTGTAGGCAGTATACCCTACTGTCTGGGGTACCGTGCCACTGTCCTGATTTTTCCAAAATTCCTGTAATCCTTCGTGTTTGAGTTTAAAACCTTTTAGACATTTGAAAATGTTTATGGGATGGTTTTAAACATATTTTGTGAGTGCATTTGAGCTTGTGAATATAGGTATATAAAGTCATATTCTTACATCGGTTTCTACCTATATTCTATGCTAGTTTTGGTGTTTCGACTTCATTCTTGAGTACCGAATCTTAATGGATTCTTGTTATACCTGAAACACTTAAATAAACGTCAAGCTCTTATATTGTTTGTTAACATCAAAACATGAGGCTTAGCAAACCAAGGCTAACAGACTGGAACCCACCAACCACGAGATCATGGGTTGGCCAAGGTAACTCCTAAACGATCATCTAATCGTGTGTGTGTGTGTGTGCGTTAGGAAACGAATTTTGGGGGTGTGTGTGTGGGCAATAAAGGTTAACTAACCCCCAAGGACCCATAGACATACTTTGGGTACCAAAGTATTGCTTTTTTTGCAGGTACGTATCAAAGTGAGGAACTCAGGGGGAACCAGCGATGGGTGGTGTATCCCATCGCTGGGAAGGAAGTATTTTCTAACCAGCAACCCTCTTCCCATCGATGGGAACTTCTTCCCATCGCTGGGTGTTTGACACTTTTTTTTAAAAATTTTTAACGGATTTCCAGTAGTTGTCTTCCCATGGATGGAGAACCTTACCATCGCTGGGAAGACTGCCTTCACTCTTTCCTCTCTTTCTCGTACCTGTCTTCCCATCGATGGGAGAACCTTACCATCGCTGGGAAGCCTGTTGCAGTTCAAAAATCATAGCCGTTGGGCACCTCATTCAATGCCCAACAACCATATTTTTGAACACCAATGGCCCAAATTCTCTTCTCCTATAAACATTAACCATCCTTGGTTATTTTTAAAACACAATTTACATTCCTTTTGCATACTTTAAGCCTCAACTCACTTTCTAAACGCTTCAACAACGGACAGAGGAAAGTCAAGGACCAAAACCGAGTCTTCAAAGAAGAAGGCCAAAATCAACGCCACGACCTCTTCTTTATTTTCTCCTTATTAAATATGATTGTATTTTTATCCGTTGTATTCCGCATTTCCCTTTTAATGAATAAAAGTTTACCTTTAATTCTTTTGTTAATGTCAAAAGGGGGAAGATATAAATCTTTTGCATAGATTGAGGGGGAACTTTTTCTAAAACTAACTCTTATTCAACACATAAACTTTGTTGAAAAGAAAATTGCATTTATTAAGGGGGAACATTTTTTAAGTCTGAAATCAATCCTCCTATGCATAACCCCGTCTTGTTTGCCATTATCAAAAAGGGGGAAATTGTTGAAACACGGGTTTATCACATTTTCGTACTAAAGCCGTGTTCGTTTTCATGACAGGTTTTAATAATGCCAAACCGCCATGAATGAGACAAGTTGTTGAATATACAAGGCGAGAAATAAATATAAGAAGAAAGCAAGAGAACAAGATCTAAAAGAGACCAAGAATGAAGAACGTAGTCTTTAGCGTCATTGAGTCGGTCACAATGTGATCAAGACCGACCCAAGCTTTGCACTTTAGCTCTTTAGGCTAAAACATTTTTATTGCATTTTACATATCATCAAAATTATTTTCAAACATGCTTAAACATATTAAAAACACTTGGTGTTCGCCCAAACCAAAAACCAAGCCATCCGGGGTTCAGGTTTCGGAAACCGACGCTCGGTTTTTCAGAAACCGGCGTTCGGCATTCGGTTATCGGTGTTGATTTTTGGCGTCCGAACCAACCAAGTGGTTTTAAAGTTTTTATGATTTTTTTTTAATTCTGGGCATATTTAAATAGTTTTCCATAAAAAACACTTCAAAAACCACCTTTCGTTTTTTGTCGTTTGATAAAAACCATGTGAAACGGCATAAACTTGGCTAGCCGTGGTTTTTACTTAAATGAAGTGGTTTTCAAGTATTTTTGTGTGTGAATTGTTTTTGAATGCATTTAAATGGTTCTCCAATCAAAACATCATGAAAATCACCTTTCGGTTTTGTCTTTGGGTAAAAACCACCCGTGTACGGTGTGGACTTGGTCAACTGTGGCTTTTACCTTAACGACGTGGTTTTCAACTTAAAAAGCTTGTTTTGACATCACAATACATTAAATAAGTGTTTTATATACTTAGTTTTTACTTTGGAGAACATTGCATTTTTCGGTCGGGTTTCAGCGCCGGTGAGCTAGGCCATGGTTCTGGGCTAGCCATCTACCCAGCGATGGTAGATATCACCCAGCCATGGGTAAGTGATTCCGGGATTCCAGAATCATGCCACCCAGCGATGGGAGATATTACCCAGCAATGGGTAAGCAGCCTTCAGCCCAATTGAATTCCAGAACCATGCCAAACAGCGACGGGAAGCTCTACCCATCGCTGTTCAAGCCTTGGTCCAACATTATCACAAGGCAGAATGCCCATACCCAGCGATGGGAGATATTACCCATCCATGGGTAAGTGACTTCCCAGCGATGGGAGGATATTACCCAGCCATGGGAAGGCATGACCGTTGAAAGTCATTTAAGGTTGATTCTTTCCTTGTTTGGAAGTCAACCTCCCACCCAGCGATGGGAAGCTTTTACCCATCGATGGGTAGGTGACAGTTGGCTTCAAAACTGAAGGAAAATTGGCTTACCAGCGATGGTTGAGTCTAAACATCGATGGGAAGCCAATATCCTGCAGATCCCAAATTTATTCAATCCCATAAATCAAGCCAATCACCCCTTTAATGTATTAGTCCGTTGGAGCCTATTTTGGCACTATAAAAAGGGGTGCTTGGGTCTGCTTTTATCACCAATTCACTTCACAATATTCATATTATCATTGCATCCAAATCACATTATCTTCCATAGCTTTCTAGAGCCAATTTGTGTGATGTTTGAGTTGTTCTTGAGCGTATATATTTTACTCATATCCACTCTTAAGGAGAGTCTTGTTCTTGAGTGTCTTAGTGTTGTATACACGTTAAGGGAAGCTTGTTTCCCTTGGTTGTACGAAGGAAAGGTATTTTCCTTCGGGTTGAAGTTTTGGAGTGCGGTATCTCCGAGCAAGTGTATTGAGGCTCGTGGGACTCGAGTTCTCAAGTTGTAACGGTTTGTTAAGCACCCGTAAGCTTAACGGAAGTAGTGTAGCTTGAGAGAGTCTCTCAGGAGACTAGATTAGCCACACGTTATGATGAACCAATATAAATCTTGGTGTGCTCCCTTTACGCTTTCTACGCTCTTTACTTTTCACATTCTTAATTTTTTATTCCTGTGATTTATACGATCAAACGCTCTTCACCCCCCCCCCTCTAGAATTGGTCACTTATTCTAACAAAACATATGGAATGGGTTCCTCGAAATTGGAGCTGCTGTCTGACTTGGTTTCCCAATTTGGTTGAAGTTGATCATTAATCCAGCAATCATCTTTGCTACCTGGCCTGGGTGATTCTTCGTTTATTGGAGGAAAAACTCCCAGTGGGTAAGCGTCTTCCTGGAAGGGGTTAAACGGGATAATATCCATGCAAGGTTGGGGTTTGGGAACATTGAGGAAAGAAAGGTCAAGAAGAGATTCTGATTTATGGGGCTGAGGGGTGGGCATGGAGGGAGTAAACTTACTTGTGAAGGGTGGGGGGAAATTGGTATCCTCTTCTGGTACATCTTCCACCATAGGCATCAGGTCTTCCCAATGAACCTGTTTTGGCGTACGGTTGGTTGATGGCTCACTGTTTTGGACGTGAGTGTTTGAAAAACTGCAGATGCCCACTGGTCCTTTACTCTTGTTTCTTTTGTCCTGGTGTTGTTGGTGTATTGGTTTGTATCTTAAAGCCCCATGCACTTCATAATGGTTTGATGAGGGACCCACCATTACTCTTTCTCCAGTCTTGTTGTGTCGTTTGCTAGAGACTATTTTCCAATCATGTTGAATATCCTGAAAGGCACACGCTCCCATATGGCCCACCTCCTTGGCTGGAGCAATGCCAGGGAGGTTCTCCGACGTTTTTTTCCGGCAAGATTGAAGGTTGTGCCCAAACCTGTGACATATTGAGCATTAGTGAGGAGGGTTTTCAAATCTGCAGGGTAGCCAGAGATCTCTAGTTCCAAGCCTGAGATGAATATGAGAAGGAAAGGGGATGGACAAGTCTCTCTCCACGCAGACCCTAATCTGGTCGGGTTTAACTCCAATGACTGAATTGGAGTCCAGTTTGATTGGTTTCCCAAGAGCAGAAGCTATTGAGAAGATTGCTTTGTGATCATTGAGGTGAATGGGGAAGTTCTTCAGCTCAACCCAGAGAGGGAAGAGGGGTGAGTCTGCTAAGGGTTCATGCTCCGCCGTCCACTTGCAGATAGTGATGATACTTCCTTTAATTTTCCACCTCCTGCGAGAAAACCAACGAAGGTAGTCTTCTTCATGTTTAAAGATGAAGAGGAGTTCATTGGATTGAAGTCGTCGTAATTTGAACTCCTTAAATCTGCCCTTGACTAGGAAATCTTCAACCTCAGATAGGTGGACTCGGCTACTGCATCTTCCTACCAGTGTCTGTGAGAATTTCCCGGCCAGCTTCCTTTCCTCCTTCGCCTTGAAGGATATTGAGGGGGAGTTTTTATAGAAACCACAAACTGTGCCCGGCATATCTCCAGGTTCCCCATGGAAGAGCTCGGAGAAAAGTGTATGCCTTGGTAGGGAATGGACGGTTCCCATCAGATGACACGCGCGCGCGCTTCACTGGTCTTTGTTTTACGCTCTCCTTCGCCCAGTCTTCTTTCTTCTTTCTTCTTCGTCGCTTCACCCAATTCTTTCTTATTCGTACATTTTCTTCGCTCCCAATCACCATTAATTTCTTTTCCTTTCTTCCCAATCAGCTTCATCTTTCTCCTTCGACCCAAATAAACCCTAATCACTCCCCAATCGCCATCGCCAGTTCCTTCGCAGCAGTCTCTTTGGTTTCGGATTTTCTCTCCAGGTTTAGTGGCGCCACTAAGAAAGGTATTTTTATCCCCCTGCTGAAGCTACTTCTATATCATCTTTGAATATTATCTTTATAGTTGCACGGTTGGATCCAAAAAGCCATTGCTGAGATGGGAATTCTGTCACCAAAGCTCTGTTGTATTCCCCCCCCCCTTTCTCTGAATTTTTCATGCTATTGTTCTGTGCAATTTTTGTGGTGATTCTGTTACATTTATTCTGAATTCAGATTTATCTGTCCATGATTTTCATGCTTCTTAATATATCTTTTTTTACTGGATGGTTTTGTTTAGTTTTGTTTCTAATACATTTCTCTTCAATTTCAGCCATGTTTTGGTTCATTTGAGCTCTGGTTTGGTTGAATTTTTATATATGTTAAGATGTTCACTACTCAAGTACTTTAATATTATGCTTTTGTGCTGTTAGGCTTAGAGGAAATTTGAGTGAGTTTGTATTCTGGACTTTTCATGTAGTGACCTTATTCTATAGGTAATTTAATACCATCTGAAAGCATGGAAGTTGAAGGTGGAAAAAAATCATGGAAAAAGAAGGTTGGTTCTTATCTTTCTCAAACACACATCACTTTAAATTTATTAACCTAGAATTTTAAACTTATCTTTTTGTGTTCTTGTTTTTTTAAGGAAACAAGCTCAGTTTGCTGTGGAAGAGCACACTGCTGAACCTTGCACACCTGTAGTTCCATCGACTTTTATAGTTCTTAGGAAAAGTCCACGTCTTTTATGTTTAGAACAGTCACCCACTGCCCTTGTCCCTAATGCAATCATTAATAGGCCAAAACGAGATGTTGCGACTATTTTAGAAAGTATAGTTGATGACAAAGATTATAAGACTCGTATGTCTCCGAACGGCTTTTTTAACCTCTTGCAGAGGTTAAATAGTGAGCAAAAAAAGCTGTTGAAGAGTTGGGTTTTCATTCCCTTTTTAGTCTTGAAGCGTTAGTTCTACCGGTAAAGCTTTCAAAATGGCTTGTTCAAAACTTTGACCCATATAGGTGTTCACTTAATCTTTTAAATGAGCGGGTTAGAATCACAGAAAAGGATGTCCATCTAACCCTTGGCCTCCCGACCGGACCATTTGATGTGCTAGAAGCTCAAAACAAGCCAACAGACCCTAAGGATTATAAGACTTTGGTCCTTAAGTGGAGAGATGAGTGGGGTTTACAGAGGGATTTTCCACGTACCAATGCTATGCCCGATAGAACTTTAGGAATGGCGGGGTCAAGTGAAGGATTTAAGCTCAATTTTATGGTGTTCTTCATCTCTACCTGCATATCTGGAAACACAAATACATTTGCCAATTCAAGAGTGTTGCGCTCCTTAGTCGATTTGAGTAACATGAATAAATTAAACTGGTGCAAGTATACCTTGACCAGTTTTAATTAATTCTACCATTCAATGGAAGCGAAAGTCAAATCCTTATTTTACTGGGCCTGTTTTGTTCTTAATGGTATGTATTCATTTTCCTTAACATAAAACTTTATAAGTTCCAACACACTAGTTTGCATTTTATATTTTACAGAGTCGTCTTTGTTATACTGATTTTTTATCTTTTTAGATGTTTTATGTTGATAGGGTTGTCTTCCGAATGAGAGTAGTGCCTAGAACTTTTCCAACTATACTAGGTTGGACTTCGCAGAAGCTTAAGGAAAGAGAAGGATTGGAGCGGGAATCAGGTTAGTGCTGTTATACGCCTTGCACACCTCTAGAGGGGGGTGAATAGAGGTGTTGCCCAAAAGACCAGTTTTTTGCGCGGAAATGTTCTTCACGAATATTCAATAAAATCAATGCACCACAAACAAAGTAAAGTGAAGGATAAGAGCAATGCACACACGATATATACTGGTTCGGCCTAAATGCCTACATCCAGTCCCCGTAGCAATCGTGCCCAGGTCTTCACTAACCCGTCAAACTTAACGGAGTTTGACAATCCGAATACAACTCGAGAACTTGATTTCACAAGCCTCTTATCTTACCACCGAAGTTTTGATTTCACAAAACTCAGGATTTCTTCCACCTAACGTTTGATTTCACAAACCGTTAGGATTTCTACCACTTGGTGTAATCCCAACACCAAGAATACAAATCCCTTACAATAAAGTAAGAAAACAAACCGCAACCGAGTAATTCTCCCAACACNGATTGTTGCAAATACAATGAAGTCCTTTAGAATATGGCAATATCTCTCAAAGACTCAAGCAATGAGGAAAAACTCAAGCAAGAAATGATTTAGCAATCAAAACAATTGCCTTGCTTGGATATAAGGAGGGGATTGAGTAGAATCTCTTTGGATATTCAAAGGATATGTTCTTCAAAGTGTTCTAAGTGTTCTTATGAAGCTAATCACGAAAGTAGATAGTTTATAGAAGTTAGGGAGTGGATAGGGATGAAAAGCATTCAAAAAACTAGCCGTTTGGTAGTTGAAACTGTCGACTTATTCAAATAACTTAAGAGTTATTCGAATAGTTTGGATCAATCACGTGGCTTGAAAAACCAGTTCCTATTCGAATAAATGGTGATTTATTCGAACAAATCAGGGTGAAAAGCCAGGACTTGTTCGAATAAATGGTGATTTATTCGATTAAAATAGGTTAATTTCAGTCACAGGAAAGATCACGACTTATTCGAATAAACTAAAGACTATTCAAATAAAAAGGCAACTTCCCCACACAAAGGCTGATCTAAAATGAGTTTTAAAGGTAAGATGATAAGGGAATGAACCTTAGAGATGCCATACTCTTTAACACATAATCTAAGACCTAAAACACTACCTTACTAAGAAAACAACCTCTTCGGTCTCGTTCCTTCCACCGATGCTCAAGTCCCTTCTTCACGGACGGAAATGAACTTGTTGTAGCTTTGATTCTTAGCCTTGATGCACAAAATGATGATGATGTTTTGTCACCCTTTTGTCATTATCAAAACCTAAAACACAATGGGAAAACGACATTGCAAAAATATATATTCATGATAGCACATTCTCCAACAAGTGCAACTTATTTTTAGGAGGTTCATGCTTTTTTAAGTTACACGTGACTGAATAATACTGTAAATAGGTGGTTTTGGTCGTGGTAGCATGGACCCACAAATCAATAAAGAGTTGTTTTCAAATGAAAACCCGTCTCTTGAAGATCCTCCTGGGAAAACATCCCAATCACAGGTAATTGTAAGACACACACACATCAGTTTTCTTTATGTTCAAAAATCCATGCCCTGCCTACACTAGTGCTTTGCTTTTTGTTCTATAATTTCATTTCCCATTTCAGTTCACTACCTGCCATCCAATCCATTTTTACACAAACACACTCTATGATTGTTCAATCAACGTCTTAGTCTCCTAAATTAATTCCTTGCTTGGATGAATGAAGTGATCATGCTCTTGCTTCTTTTTCATATTTATTTGGTTTGACTTTGAGTGGATAATTTGAAGTTGGTGAAGCATTGAATATCAAAGTAACTTGACACACTTTTTTCTTTTTTAAAAACCTATTTTAGAACGACGTTTTAGAGGAGGCACGGACTGCTGCAAAAGAGTTGGTGCAAAAAATATCAAAGTGGGACACCGTCTGTAGAGGCTTGAATAGTGAGTTCCCAAATTCAAATGCCGTCAAGAGAATGCAACAAATTGCTGCAGAAGTGATTGTTGCTGTTGGTAAAAGTCCAAGAATATCAGGTACTCCGATTTCGGAAACAAATCCGAAACTGCAATTCGAAGTAATCAACGAGAGCTCTTCTTTCTTGGCTGCAATATCTCGACTTGAAATGGAATTTTTCACGGTGAAGCGCAACCTTGAGACCAACAGCCAAGACTTGTCCATGCCATCATTTAGCTTAGGGCTTACACCAGAGGAAAAGGAAAATCAAAATGAGGAGATTCAACATGAAGAGGTTCAGCATGAGGAGATTCAAACAAAGAATGGAGATGGCACAGCCCAAACATGCAATCTCACTGCATTGGCAGATGATGTACAGAGTCACCCCCAAATTGAGCCTATCCCAGCTTTTCGAGAGAGTGCAGTTCAAGGGCAACAAGAAGAAACTGTTCTTTTTCAGCTAACCCCACCATATACTCACTTTACAAGTCAAGAAATTGCATCCGGTCCTAGCCCTGTTCCTGTATTCATTAAAAGACGACTTCAGCCCCAAAGGAAGAAAGAATTTGCACGCGCCTTATGTTCTCCTTTTTGGATAAGAAACATGGAAGCACTCTCACGGTTGAGCCGTGCCAAAAAGGTTCTCATGGACTACGTATTCAACAAATCTCCTTTACTTGGGTAAGTGTTACCTTTTCACGTTGTTTTGTAAAAAAGTTACTTAATTTAATTATTATTATTAAGATTTTTTTGATATTTATTTATCCTATTTTCCATAATTTTAATTACAGGGAAGTTTTGTACAAAGACATGTTTTGTGAAATGAAGCGAAGCGATTTAATATCCTTTTCTGAAGGGTCTGTCTCGTCGCTTATTTTACAGATTTGGTTTCGATTCTTTAATGCCGAGGAAAAGCATCGAAGCAAGTCAGATGTCTATCGAGTTTCCCTTAGCACGAATCCTTTTGTATGTAACCTCTTTACATTATTCATGTACTTTAGTGTATAAAAGTGGAGATATTCAAATGTGACACTGACATAAACTTTACATTATTCACGTAGGCTGAGTTTGTAAAGATCAGTTTATATGACGATGCTCATGAAACCTTTTGTGAAGCCGCTGACAGAGAATTGGTAGAACAACAGTTTTATAGCGGCATTGATATGAGTACTGCAGATTTGGTCAGCTACATGGAATTGTTTGTTTTTAGTGTTTTGTATCTAATGTATTCATTTATTCTGATATCATTTCTGTTCTTATTTTACTGCAGGTGTTCTTCTTGGTTGCTGATGAAACAGACAAGGATGATGTTTATATAGTTTGTTTTAACATGAAAAAGGAGAAGATAACCATCATTGATTCAATTGAAGATAAAACTAAGGTGTATGATACATGTGTTGAAAGTTTGGTAAGATCCTTTTTAAAGCGTGGTAATACTGACTTAAGCTTGAACTTCATTGTTTATTCATCAACTTAATCTAATATAGTCTCACTGACTTGCAGAAAAAGGGAATGTGCCAGTATTTCAATGAAAAACAACTTGAGCAAAAAGCAAGTAAAATTTCCAAATTTCCTTTTGAAATAACAAAGAAGGCATGTTATGGGAACATGGAAGGTATGGGTGTTGGTGTCATAGCCATGAGGCAATTGGAAACTTTCAAGGGGAATTTGAATACGTGGAAGATGGATTTGAACAAAAATGATGTAAGTCTTATGTCCTTTTTGTTTATAAGGTGAAATAAGATAAAATTATCACTCATTTTATCTTATTTTAATTAAAGTTTAAATTTCTTGGTAGGTAAATGGATTAAGAATGCTCTGTGTTCGATATTGCTACGAAATGCTCACCTCTGATCATAATCAACTTGCCGTACAAGTGAAACGGAAAGTGGCAGAATATGGCAAGTTTATCAACTAGGATATGTGTCACACTTGGACACATACAGTGACAGTTTGATTTTTGGCCTAATGTCTGATTTGATTAAGTTTTAGCAATCTGATTTTGGGTTATTATGGTGTTGAGAAAACAGGATATGATTTGTGTGGATATAGGACCAAGTTAACATTTGTAATATCCTCATTTTGCTTCTGTAGGTGTCAAGCAGTCATGATGCTTGGAACATTTTTCATTTCAGTCCACTCTTTAGCTTGTAACAACTGGATAGCTTTTGTACCCTGGCCTTTCTGATTTTTATCTTCTAATGCAATATTTGTTAAGTGCTTAGTTGTGTTAGGCTTCCTTCTTGGCTTTGATTTGCTTGGCAGCTAATAAATCCCCTCAAATTTCACCATTCCTGGCAACTAATCTCCGAGAAGCGCACCTAAAAGTTATAGGTAGCTATGGCTACCAGAATAAGGAGTCCGGGTTGACCTTTCAGCCTCATGCCCTGCAGTATATTGATTAATTATGTTTATTGATCAGTGGTTACAATTAATTCTGTTTTTGTGGATGACCGTTTTTGTTTTACTTACACGACTTGGAGAGTCGATATTGGTTATCTTAGATGAATATCTGGATTTAGATGTACAACCTATAGAACAGATCATGTTCAAGTGGTTTTACATTGTGGTTGATTTGATCTTTATTGATCAATGGTTACAATTAATTCTGTCTTTGGTTTTGCAACTATTACATTGTCTTTATATGCAATTGCTAAAATGTGCAACGATCTTCGTCTTCGTCTTCGTCTTAAACATGCCAAATAATTTCCAAGAGAGTGAGGGCTGAGACGAGGACGAGGAGGGGGTTTTAACGTTAAAGTTGTCCCGCAAAAGCGCTTTCACGTTTTCGTGCGTCGAAATGGGAATCTCCCCGCTGTAAACAAGCTCACCAAACATAACTAGAAAGCTCACCAAATATATTGAGAAAGCTCACCAAATATATTGAGAAAGCTCACCAAACATAACTAGAAAGCTCACCAAATATATTAAGAAAGCTCACCAAATATATTGAGAAAGCTCACCAAATATATTAAGAAAGCTCACTAAACATAATTAGAAAGCTCACCAAATAATTTAAGACCAAGACTTTGTTTTTTATATGAAAGCTCACCAAATATATTAAGAAAGCTCACCAAACATAACTACAAAGCTCACCAAACTTAACTACAAAGCTCACCAAATATATTTAGAAAGCTCATCAAATTTTTATACCCATGTATTGGGTTATTAACAAGAAGGCAATTTTGTGGCGCATTTGCGGAAGGAAATGGATTAGAAGTGCCCGGTGTCCATTCTTTTTACTCTTAAATTTTTATCACAATCTAATACTCCCTCCGTCCCGGTATATTCGTCCACTTTTGACTTTTGGAACTGTTCATCTAAGCACTTTGACTCATCAAATTCTCTCAATGTGTAAGCCTAAATATAGTCATGTGTAATCATGTTTGATTTGTCTTAACATATAGATCATTAATATATAATTTCTATAATTTTTTAATATACAAATTACAAGATAAAATGGATTAAAGAAGTGTATTGCATGGTGTCTAAAAATGAAAGTGGACAAATACTCTGGGACGGAGGTAGTATATTTTTTCCGTAATTTATTCTCAAAGTTTAAAATGTTTTCCCCAAAAGTCAAAATGGGAAAAAATATAGTCATCGTTTAAAAGCATTGACGAAAAAAAATGTTAGCCCCGAACTGGATCTAGTGTTGTATGAATTTTGCAATGTTAGAATAAGTGTCTTTCCCTAGTAATATATGATCACCTTATAGAAGTAATATTTTAACAGCATTGTTACCAACTTTGAAAACAACACTCTCAATTTAAAGAAGTAGAACAGAAATCCAAATCAAAAGAAGCAAATTGACATGGAGTTTATAAATATTAGTCATAGAAGATAGAAGAAAGTGCTAATATGATACACATCAAGTATCATTTCCATTTAAATCTACTCTTTCAACCAAAAAATAAAACCTCTCAAAGCATTCAACTCCCCATTTTTTTCCATAGTCCGCAATAAAAAAGACACTAAGACGGAACAGTAGGCATATACAGAGCTCAAATTCCAACTTCGGCTTCTGCTAATCTCTAAACAGTAGCTGCTAGACCTCCCTATTGTTGTTTTGCTTCCAAGTTAACAGGTGATAGTCACTGTAAAAAGAGCAAAGAAAACCAGCCTCCCACATGACCAAAGCAACAACATTAATAATCCAAATAATAAGCAACATAATTGTACAAAAACTATTCAGAAGAAGTGCCGGGCTGATTCTAGAACCAGATGAAGAAGATGGAGATGGTTTTGGTGTGTTAGATTCCCACATCGGAAAATTAAAGACGATGAACATGCCCTTCATAAGCTTAACTAACTGAGAAACTCCTACCCAATCATAAATTTACAACCAAAGAACCAAACTCAACTGAAAGCTGAGCTTTAGGACCTCTGAGTCAGCAAGATCAACAAGACTCTATTATATATCATTTCAAAGACTCAGGACTGCTATGAATTGGATTGGATTCAAATTGATGAAAAAGATGCATCTTAGAAATATGGGAATCCAAAGAATTATCACTGTGCTAAACTATTTCTGGATCAAATTGAGTCGTTTTTGTTCAAAAACCCACTAGAAAGAAAGAAAAACCCAATGTTTTTTTTACAAAGAAATTGACAGTAACATCAAAGAAAGAAAGAAATCTTGACACCCAGATATGAATTCTTCAGAACACAGAATTAAACAAAAAAAAAAAAAGAATAAGAAGAAGAAGGATTTGACAGGATTGCAGTTTACCGGAGCTCACTGCACGGCTTGAACTTGGTTGTTAGTAATGGTGATTCAAGAAACCCTAGCAGTCCAATTGTAAAGATTTTGAGCACTTGGGGGAAGAAAATGGGGGGAGGAGGAGAAAGGAGAGATGCGGATTCTTTGTAAGAGATAAAACAAATTATTCCCCCAAGTGCTCAAAATCTTTGATTATGATCATATCGATAATTGTAATAGATGAGAAATTTCTTAGAGTAAGAAGACACCCACAACCTTGATCTTTTTGAAATATGACATATCTTTACATGAATACCCTGATTACTTTACTTATATACTAGTTTTTAACCCCGTACTTCGCACGGGCTTGGGTTAGATGCAAATGTTGTTTCCTATTTTGTGAATGTATACTTGGACGAAATATATGAATATTCTAAGGCATAATGTGTAGCGAGTAGAAATCATCATTTTTGAAGTCTCTTAAGTCATTTTTTGAAAAATGTGGATTTGAGATAGATAATAGTGTTTTAGGGTACGTTTTTAAAAGCATTCTTTTTTAAAAAAAGATATGTAGAATGGTAAAGGAGTTAACTGCATCCCTTGAGAGAGAATTTAAAAAGCTACAGGGAACGATCCACCCGATGTCTGTTAAGGGAAAACCTTGATGTCTGTTAGGGAAAGGGGAAAAACTAAAAGGAAAAATATTTTAACACTATAACAAAGTCCTTGGTTTGAAGGACTTTGGAAGACGCATCTCTCATATAATAGTATCCTCCTTAATAGTATCCTCCTTGGCTCGGTTCTTCGTGGTGTAATTTGCCCTTGGAAGATGCATCTTCTATAAAATGTGGGCGAGAATTGTCTTGAATGACATGGGGATGGATGGTTTGTCGCTATTCATTTCCTGCATACGGTGTTGGTTTTAGTTAGCATTTGTGGTCTGTGGTAGTGTTTTAAAAACCCAAACTGAATCTAAACCATAAAATGTCCCAATTAATTGTAATCTAAACCAAAAGTAATAAACACTAATACATACTAAGAACAACAAACATTTCCAGAATCATACCGGGCATTAGTTCCCGTGGAACAACAGAGAAGCTAATCGAAAAGAAGAGAAACATAAACGACAGGCTGTTGATTGCCCCTGCAAACAATCAGAAATGGAAATGGCAAAACATTTACAAATGCAGAGTTTAAAACATAATTCGGTGAGTAGGAAATATTTAATGCCTAGCCGCGCATACCTTTCATCATCCTCTGGTTGAAGTAGGGATCCACTGTAATTTCAGCTTTAGGAAAGACGTTAACGGAATCGAGATAGATGGACTCCAACTACATCAAGGTTGCTTGCTTTTGATGTGCTCCATGGATTTTTCAAGTTAGCTTGCAACAGATGGATTTCACATGTCTACTAAAATTGGAAGAAGAAAAAGGATTGAAGGTGGAAGAAAAGGGCAACAGAAACGGCAGAGCCTCCTTGCATGCACAATGCTCTTTTAACGTCCTACATGGCGGCGAGTCAGTAAATATTATCCTACATGGCAGACACATGGCATATCACAATTAAACTTTTTCTCAAGGAATGGAGACAAAGTAGTGCAAAATTACATCATGCAAGTTAACTGTCAAGGATTTTAAATACATAAAAATTAACATAAAAGGACATAGCTCGACTTCTAGAAGATTAATTTGGTGTTGCCTCAAAGAGTAGAGACAAAATGAAACACCGACACACAACTCGGATCCCTATTCCATCTTGATCATAACATATACTGTGATGGTCTCAAGGAGAAGAAATTAAGAACTCAGAGTTTCCCTGATCAATGGCGGGATGGGACTGCGACCACGGAGGCTTGGAATTGGGAAGGCGACCCGGCGACGACTGATTTCTAGAGTTACATTTTGGTCGCTGCTTGATGAAATCTTGTGGCTGGCCAGTGAGGGAATGGGAATAAGTCAAAAATAGAGTAAATTAAAAAAATATAGACTTTAAAAGCATGGCTAGAAGATAGCGTAGTTGTATCTGTAATATGACATAAATAAAGGTCACACAATAAACTTTGACAAAACAGATTAATGCATATACTAAATATCAAAAAGCCCTTTCTCATTAATTATTTCTTCACCCAATTTTAAGAAAACACACCAACAACGATCCCACCTTTAATTGATTTGCATCAGAACCTCAAAATTATATAACCACGATAAAAAAATATAATAGATGGTCATTAAAACTACTCACAGGATGGTCCTTATTCAAAGGCTAATTTTCTTGAAGAACAGGGGGAATATAATGTTTTAAACTACTCCTACGATAAGGAATGGAGATAAAGTAGGGATATCCATACTTCATTATGTTTTAAATTAAAAAAAACATAATAGATGGTCATTAAAAATATTGTTCTGGTAGTTTGTTTTTAAATACAAAAATTAAATAGAAGATCACAACTTAGAGATTCATTAATTTTGAAAAAAAGGATATACTAAATTGGAACAGTTCATATCGAAATTATATTAAATCAATATATAAAGGATCCATTTATATTGGTCAACTACTCATATACTCCATACTAACATAGAGGATCAAAGATAAGGATCAGTTTTATAAATTAACCCAATTCTGTATTCAAGAAATTTTTAAATCCAAATTAAAATGTACAAATAGCTTAACACGAATGGATGGAGATCAAGCAGTGCTTACCACATACTGCTTACAGAGATAGCTAATACAAACCATGAATGGAGACCAAGTAGTGTTATCCACATACTGCTGAAAACTTACAATCATGCTCATTTTGTTTAATTTTTTACAAATAGATCCTTTGGTAATGAATGAAGACCAAGAAGCACTATCCGCATACTACTTTGAGAAATAGCTGCTCTGTAATATGCATTCTGAAGAGAAATGGAGTTATCCACCAATTTTGTAAAGTTACTCATACAAAATTATTGACTAAAAACACACCTTAAATCCTAAAGCTCTAGCATATGGCACACAGTTGAGCCCAATAAATGTTCTTCACCAATACTTGCCTTTCCGTGCTAACATGCCCAACCAGGTTTGCAAAAACTTTTCGTGCTAGAATATAAATTTGACTAAACCAACAACAATAGAAACACATTAAAAAAGACAAAATAACCTATAAGTGTGTAAACTTGGCCCATTCTTGCATACCTTATGAAAGTCCATTAAATAAAGAGACGCATGGGGAGCACTGGTGTCGCACCAGAAACAAATAAAAATGGAAGAACGGGCATTCAAATGGTGAAAATACCTAACCTCTAGGCATTGTGAAAGTGATAAATCCAGCTGATCAGAGAAAAGTGAGTCACACACCACACGAACCTTAATCGTTCAAATTCCAGACTTTCGTGTCAGACTTTTGACAGGGGTACATCTTTGAAGAATGTTCCTCAATGAATTAGATTGGGGAGACACCATTCCTATCAACCTGTCTAGATGGGTCTGTGGGTGTAATTAGAAACAGAAAAATATTTTTCACAAAAAAAAAGAATATAGAGTAATTAGCAGGCTTTTTTTCATTCTGAGTCCGCTTGGGCAATTCTACAGATTGGAGATGAGTATTTACTGCTACATAATGAAAACTATTCCAAGAACATACGGAGTATATGAAAAATCGGATTTCAAATCAAATCCAACAGAGAACATATGTTGGATTGCATATATGAACTTTTCAATAACAATTAATCTTCTCTATAGCACTGTAATTGCATCAAATAATCAAAATTCCAAAAAAAATTCCAGATTGAACGTTCTAAACCAATAATTTGTGGAATCCCAAATTATAATTTGAGCATTAGAATTGAAGCAGAACAACCTGGAGCAGCGTCGGTCTGACCTTGGCCGTTGCCGTTCATTTGCCTTCGTTCAGAGCTACACTGGCCGACCAACTGTTGGCGTTGATCCAGATCCGTGGTTCTTCAATTCTAACATGGAGCTATGTTGACAGAGTGAGTCGCTGATTTTGCAATTCTCCTTGCGTTTGAGCTGCGTTAAAAGTTGCTATTCCCTGGGAGAGAGAAAGCGTCTGAGCTGTGTTATACCCCAAGTTGTAACGCTCCGGAAGACCAACCTTTCGAGAGCCATCCTCCACATCATGCGCCAAGTAAGAATCCAGGTGTCAACTCCACAAGCGACTAACCCTACTTTATATATATATATATATATATATATATATATATATGATAAAGATAAATATTTGGAATCAGATTAGATTGCACATGATCCCTTACAAGGTAATCTCTTTCAGGATCCTAAATAACAGCGTATATGCTAAACCACGGGAGCATATTGGTTACTCTTCATCACTGGAGCATATTGGTTACTCTTCATCACTACTGCTTTTGCTATAAAAGAAGGATTATTAAAATCTAAATGTAAGTTAAATGAAACAACTAAAATGAAACATTATTTAAAAGTAACCTGTTGTTTTTCAATGGACAATTACGGATGTCATGTGTAGTCATTTTGTTGCATGAACCACAACGTCTAGTGGGCTTTTGTTTTTCTTGACCCTTCTTCACACCACTCTTAATCCTCCTTTTCCTTCCCTTCGTGACTCCAATGGTAGGAGGATGGATTTCAACTCTATCAGGCCCTTTGCATCCAAAATAAGTTTCCAAGTCTTTCTTTTTATCATTTCCAACTGTTGGCTCCATATCAGTGAGTTGATGCTCAAGGGAAGTCGTACTCTCTAAAATCACTTTCAATTTCTCATAATCTCACCCTGCCGGAAGCATGCAGTTGTAAAACTTGCACCAGATATTAGATAAAGTTTGATTCTCTAGCTTTGTTGTGTTAAATGTTTCATCAAAATGCACCGTGCCTTCAACAACCGCTCTTTTCTTTGCATATTTTGTCCATCTATCGAAAATATAAACCTTTGGCAACTCTCAAAACCCTTGCCCATTCAAAACTGATAGAATATGCCTACAAGGGATTCCTTGTGACACAAAAAAATGGCAGGAGCATGTGGCAGCTTCTTCAGTCGGATCACTATAACGGACATTATACAGCTTCCCTTTTGCACCACGATTATCTCTTACGGCTGTCATTGTTTGACCGTCAACATATTCCATCCCTTGGATACCACAGTAGAATAAGCCATTCCAAAATTCTTCTTGAAACAAATAAAAATTGGTGTGTGTGTAAACCTCCCGTGCATGGCGCTCCAAGGGTAATTCTATTCTTAGAACGGGATTTGAAGTTAATGATGCATTCTGTTGTTTGTACTCATTGTCACGCTGAGTATCAATGGCATGCTGAAACCGCACCCAAAATTCTACCAAACTTATTAGTTAGTTTTTCAAACAACTGAACATTTGGTTTTGGCTTTCTGAACCCGACGTTGTTCTTACAACAGCACCTAAGTATGTGGCATCAAAATATACCTGGGCCCATTGCTCCTTTATTGAAAAGATATGCGTGAACCAATCATTACACAACAAATCAAAATCAGTCATTATGCGTAGCCATTCCTCTTCAAATTCTTCAGGACTCTCTGAGGACCAAACACAGGATTTCAAACGCGTATGCAAGTCTTCAGATGAATTCAGATGAATTCACAGTGGGGCCCACATATTTTGGAACTTTTTTTAGTATATGCCAGATGCAAAACCTACGTATTGATTTCTTAAACACTTCAGAAAGGGCTAACCTAATAGAATGGTCCTGATCAGTAATTATACTTATTGGTTGCTTCCCTCCCATTGACTCTAAGAATTTTGAAAAAAGCCAAATAAAGGAGTCTCCTTTCTGATTACAAACTAACGCTGCCCCAAAACAAATCAACTTACGGTGGTTATCCACACCAGTAAAGGGGCAGAAAGTAAGATCATACTTATTCTTGCCATGTGTTGTGTCAAATGAGAGTATATCTCCAAATGAAAAGTAATTTAAACGAATTAATGAATCAGCCCAAAACACTCTCTTCAAGCGACTCTCTTCATCCACTTCATATGCGAAGTAAAACCCTGGCTATGTCTCTTTTCTCCTCTTTAACGTGTCAATAAACATATGGGCATCATTGTCCTTAATGATGGCCTTCAAGCTTCTTTGATAGTTCAAAAAATCCTTTTTTGTACAACCCACATTTTGATGACCCATCATCACTTCAGCCGTAACATCAAAAACCTTAGAGGGACCTACATTGACTCTACTAGCACTACACAACATGTGCTTGTGCGATGTAGAAACTTCCCTCGATGAAGAGAGGAAATGTCTTCTGCTCGGAGTAACCATGGGATGGACATGGGACTCTTCGAACTGAATAATCTTAACACCCTTCTGACATGACACAACTAAAATACGAGCACAACAACCTTCTCGAGTTTCAGCTCTTTTCTTTCTTTTTGGTTGTTTTGAGTTTATTGATACTTCAGATAGGGGATACTGCTCAGAAAGGGGATCCTGCTCTTGAGGATGGGTTATAACTTCAAGGCTAGTTTTAGGTTGTTTCCTAAAGCCTTCTTTTGAACACACATATGTTTTCCAAGTTTTATCCCCATTTCTACATTTTGAAGATGAACCACAACGTATGCTAAACCCTGATTCCCGGGCATACTGATTGTAGAACGCTTGGCATTCTGCAAAACTCGAAAAAACTTGACCTATTTTAATCTTTAAGTTGTCTGGTACATCAGGAACCCAATTCCCCAAAGTTATAGAAGCAAATGATGGCGTTTGTAGAAAACTAGAATCAATTGAATAGCTTTCCATTTGCATAAGATAAAAGCAACCTATAGAATATGTCAAAGAGGGAGAAAATAAACATAAAGTGTAATTTCTTATCATGAGAAAAAGTGAACATAAATCGTGTTCAATTTCTTTTGCACTTTTATTTATCTATCTGGAGAAAATCAATTCAAAAATGGAACATTTAGAGCCGAAAAGAGCAGACATTTTGAAGGTCATAAGACAACAGGCTTCTGCTGTGGCAGAATGATGCACATTACGTTGCATATGTTCATGTTTGAATGTCTTTTCTGTATTTCCATGTTGGCTGTTTAAAGCTTAATAATGCTCAGTATGGTGATGTGTAAGTGTGTAACATAATAGAATGTTAATTGTGTCGTGATTATGTGTTTAACTTGTGACTCCAGTAGTTGTGCTTGGATCAGTTAGACACTCAGTTAGGATTTATTGTGCTCTTAAATTAGACACTCAGTTAGGATTTAAGGTCCATTGAAAGCCTGTACAGAATGTATCCATTTTGATAAAACTCGCCAAACATTTTGATAAAACTCACAAAATATTACTGAGTTTCCACATTCTTGTTTGTATATTAAGGATGAATATACAAGATAGCAACCAAAATAAATCTTAGTACTCACTCATTGAGAATCCATCAGGTATCTCGAATCACCATACTCACAAATTAATAGGCACAACTTGTGTCATACCTTTCTCCATTACTTTCATCACATAGAAAAAAGCTCTTTTTGATAAATTCTCATAAAAAAGTTATCCTAAAAAGGCATAAAGAAACAGAGTACAACGAATTACCTGGCAAGTAGTATGCTGTCCAACGGATGAAGAAGAAGGAATACCCTTGACTAATCCAATGACAAGTTGAATTCGATGTCTTCCATATATATCTGGGAATCAAATGCAGAGGTCAGATAAAATTCGCGTGAAGAAGCCGATGAATTTGAAAGTGATTAGGAAGATTAATTGAAGAGGCGGCTAGGGATTTCAGATTCGAATTTGAGAAAGAAAATGAAATTAGAGAAGAGAGGATGAAAAATGGAGAAGAAGATTGCATCGGCAACAACTGGGGAAAAAGATGGAATGCATCGGCGACAATTGGGGAAGAAGATGGAAACGGGAACAGAATGAAATTGGGGAAGAATATGGAAACGGGAAAGAAAACGGGAAATGAAACGGAAGTATGAAGCGCGCGTGTCATCTAATGGGAACCGTCATCTTACCGAAACTCGTCTTCTAACCAGAGTCAATCCATATATATATATATATATATATATATATATATATATGGAATGGCCAGGTTTTTAGAGCGAGAAAGCGCCGGTGAATTCAGCAACAATCGTCACCGCATCAATCTTCGTCCAGATTATCAACGGCCAATCTATGGCTTCAGGATATACTCAAGTGTGTACTCAGGTGCTCCTCCCCGATATCGTCGACCTTATCACAATTCTTACAACAGATTTGGTTTCGTCAATAGAGTCAGCACCCAAAGCGCATATGACAACCACAGAACTTCAAAGCTTTGAAACAGAGACTATAGATGGCCATTCAAATCCCCCGAGGTAAACAACCTGAAGAATTCATATGTGCTTTCAGATCAGAGAATAATCTTACAGGATCAAAGAGAGATCACCTCCCCATGGCCTAGCAAGAATATGAGATTCAAATTCAAAATTCTTAATAAGGTATTTAAACTTTTTTACTCTGTCTACAATAAGGTCTTCAGTATTACTGATAAGGGGAGAAGAAACTTCCATTTATGGTTTGATTCTGATTCACTCAATTGGGTCCTGGAGTCTCTACCTAGACTGATTTCCGGTTTTACTTGGGCCTGTGTCAAATTGGAGGTTAAGAGAACACTTGAAATTGCTCTTGACTCTAAACGTAGGGAAAATTATATTCGCATTTTGGAAGCTAGAAAAGAAGGTAACAGATTCATTCATATCCCCTTTGGAGTTCATAATGAAGGGCATAATCAGTTCCTTAAGGCTATTTTGTGCTTTGTTGAGAGAACTCGGTGTTTGGACAAGGATAAGGGTTCTGGGGTAGCAGTAGGAGATTTAGGGGCAAAAGTATTCGAGGCTGCTGCCTTGAGAGAGAAGGTGACTGGTCTTGTTAACTCTAGTGTAGAGATACCCAACCTTGCTGAAAAAGACACTTTTGTCATAGAGCAACATTTGAAGGATCAAGAGTTAAGCTCTAATTTTTACAGTAATGGGGTAGGGGATCCACTTTCTGAAGAACCACAGGAGGTGGTGAAAGTAGCCAGAAAGTGTGAAGAGAAGTTTCTGAATTATGAGAAACATGACCTGAGATTACAACTTCTGGAAGGGAAGGATCTACAACAGGGAAACACATCTAATCAGACTAACTGCTCAGTAGAAGCTTCTGTACTGGATGTGCATAAGCAAAAGGAATACTTTGCTCAGGCCGAGTCCCCTTCATCATACAGTGTTCAATATCCCCAGCTTCCAAGAGTGAGCCTATCCCCTTTTGCTGCCGAGTTCCTTCCACTTAAGCCCAACACATATGCAGCTCTCTTCGATCACGTATCAGACCTGGTAGAGGGCAGCCCACTCAAGGATGATGAATTTGACAAGATTGATGATGGGAACTTGGTTCTTAGTAACAACGCATTAGAAGACATCAGGGAAGAAAGAGAGGGGCCTATTCTATATACGCACTCGGAAGGAGAAGACAAGGTCTTCAATGACAACATACTCAAACCCCTTCAAATAGATTACTCCAGGATGTTCAAAACACCTTTTGATTTGGGGAGAGAATTCAAGGGCAGGCACACCTACTCTCCTTCTCAAATAGTAACTCGAAGTAGGGCAAAGATTTTGGAAAAGAGAAGGAAGAAAACTCCGATTGGATGGGAGGATACGTCAGATGGTTCAGAGATTAATTTTGCAGAAGACATTAGAAATTTTTTCAAGGAATGCTGTCCAAACAAGCCAGAAAAAGCAACCAAAAAGCAGTCCACAAACAAGCCTTTAACCAAGAGCCAAAAGAAAAAGTCAAAAAAGAAACTTAAGAAGAAATTGGCAGGAGAGCAGGATAAGGAAGGATCTGATTGATCAGGCAGTTGAATGGTTAACATGGTTGTTTGGGAACTGCCATTTCTAGGCATGGGCTTACTTTGTGCTTGCATAGGGTTGTGGGAAAGCCACATTATCTTGCAATTAGTTCGTAGGCATGAAGTTTTCATAGTTTGATATAGATGGGTTTTGCTGCAACAAGATGTATATTCTGTTTTGATTACTGGTCAGTCAGCACAACTAGTTTTGGGTTTTCTTCATTTCACCTGTAGGGGGAAAGGATTGCCTTAGCCAGTTAGCCTTGAAGGTGTTATCAGATTATGGAGGACTTGGATTAGAGTGTGTCTTCCTTTGAGAACAATTAGGGTTACAGGGACCTCTAAGCTCAGTACAAGGCATTTGGAGCCTAGTTCAGACTATTGACATACTTTTGTGATCTGTTTGCAACTTGAGCTTGCTTGTAGGGACACACCACTTCATTCTCGAGTCAGATCATGGAATCAAGTAACTTTGGATGACTTGGCTTTTCTTTTTTTCTCCTTAGGAGCTGGCAGTTTTTTGTATTTCTTCTCTTATTTTTTCTCTTTTGGAGTCTTAAGATCTGGCAGTTTAGGCGCTTCTCTTGTATTTCCTCCTTTCGGACTTTTTTGTAGGGGCTGCTGGCCACCCCCACTTTGTATCCTTTTCTTTTTTCAATAAAACTTCTTTTATAATATATATATATATATATATATATATATATATATATATATATATATATATATATACCACATTTTCAGAGAAGCCAATGCAGGTGCAAATAAACTCGCCGCTCTGGGTCACTCATCCTTTAACTTATGTACTTACAACACACGTTTGCAACTTCCTAGTTCTGTACGAAAAATTATATATATATATATATATATATATATATATATATAATAGATATATTGATGGCTAGTGAGAGAAAGCTGCCAGAATCCCCTGGTCTTCCGGGTTCCGGCCAACGCCGGCAGAGTAAGCTATTCTCTGAACTTTTCACGGAGGAAGGATGTAAACCTATTGGTAGCATCAAATCATCTATCTCAGGCAAACCCACTGTGTTTTTCAATGATGAAGAGCTGGATAATATCAGGGATAGGTTCCCTTTTACTGTCAAGGCAAGATTCAAGAAGGATACTACGCCGGAGGAGATTGGAAAGAGCATGGAAAAAGGGGGTTTCAAGGGAGGATTCCGTATCACAGCAGTCACCAGATTCCAGGTAATCATTGTCTTCAATCAGCATGGAGATTACCTCCGTATGCTCTCCAGGAGGTCATGGACGGTCAATGGAATTCAGCTCTCCATTTCCAAATGGGATCCAAGCACAGAAGATAAACATGATAGCCCTCAAGCTCTCATCTGGGTAACCCTAAAACACCTTCCTTTCTTCCTTCTTGACAAAAGAAATCTCTTTTCAGTGGTTAAGGCCCTGGGGAATCCAATCAAGCTTGATGATACCACAGCAAGGGGAGGTTACTATCAAACTGCCAGAGTTCTTGTGGAAATGGATGTTACCAAACCCAAAATCTCTTCCATCCAGGTTTCTTCTACTTCTTGGGTCAAAACCATTGTTGTGGTCTATGACCCTCCCCTTTTCTGCAAATTCTGTAAATGATGGGGGCACTGCTGCACCCCTCCACATGCCGCCGGGAAAGTCCTCACCGGTGGTGAACTCCAGTCGAGGCATAGGGCCACAACAAACAATAAAGTGTCCCATGAGTGGACCAGAGTGGAGCGTAAAGGGAAAAAGCCCATGCAGGTTAATACAAGGAGGAAAGAGCCAACATGGTTACAAACAGCAAATAAATTCCAGGCACTTGAAGACAGGAATACTGCTGACACCAAGGACAGCCCTGGCCCAAGCTCCAATTACCATCCCTCAGCAGTCCCGTTGGAGATTGTTCCCCCTCTCGAAGCGGGCCCAAAATCTGGTCAGGCTAGAGATATTATTAATGACAAGATTCCCACTTCCCACCTTGTGAAACAAAAGTCCATAGCTCTTGAACATACCTCTACACTGGATTCCCTTGGACTTCTCTCCACATATGTGGAACCTGAAACCCCTTGCACCCCTGTGTACATACACTCTGATGGAGAAGGAGAAAAAATCATTTTCAAGAGCCCCGTTTCCTCCTTGGAGGGTAAATTGTCTGCTTTCAAGAAGAATGCACTTTCATTTATGAAGGGAAGAGGTTCCAAGAAACCAATGCCCCCTATGCACATGACTCTTAGGAGTCAAGCTAAAGCTCACTCCTACCCTTCTTAATGTCCCTCCTCTTTTGGAACACACGTGGGATGCGGAAGTCTGCCCACAGAATTAATACTATCACTTCCCTTCACAACTGCTCGTTTATTACTATTATGGAACCTTTGGTCGCTTGTACAGAACTGACTGCTTACAAATTTAAATTCGGCATGTCCCAAGCTGCTTCCTACCTCAACAATCAACTTTGGAAGGATCCCACCCTCACTTTAATTCAAACTGTGGAACTGGAACAGGTTGTTCATTGCCAGTTTAACTCTAATTTTGGGTCTATCTGGATCTCCTCCATTTACGGGAGACATAGTAGGTCCTCGAGACAGGCACTTTGGGAGTCTATCTCTAAATGTAACCCTGGTGCACAGCCGTGGATACTGGGTGGTGACTTTAATTGCATCCACAGTATTGATGAACACAAAGGGAGCTCTGAACCTTGCCATAACTCCATTGTTGATTTCAGAAATTGCATGGAAGCCAACAACCTCCTTTACCTATCCCCTTCTGGGGGACACTTTTCGTGGAGTGGCCATCAGAGTAGAGGAAAGGTCTGGTAAAGACTTGACCATATCTTCTGCAACCAACCAGTGCTTGACCAGTTTCTCAACCTCTCGTTAGATATGCTAAGCAAAGGCAACTCTGATCACAGACCTCTCTTGCTGAAGTGTTCCCTTAGCCCCCTCTCTGGTCACAAACCTTTCAAGTTTCTCAACATGTGGACCTCTCATCACTCTCTCGAAGCTACAATCAGGAATTTTTGGGACAACAACAAAACCTATAATGGAATGCAAGGTTTGGCAAACAAATTGAAGGAGTTGAAATCAGTCCTTAACAATTGGAATAGAGATGTTTTTGGGAATATTTTTCAGAAGAGGATGCTGAAGCATGTGCCCAGACAACACAAACCTTTTATGAATCCCATCCCTCACCCGACTCTCTTGTGGCTGCTAACAATGCAAATGCTGAGTTACTTTTTCTTACTAAACGAGAATCAGAATTCTGGCAGCAAAAGGCAGGTGTCAAATGGATTAAGGAAGGTGATGCTAGCTCAAAATTCTTCCACAATTTGGTTAAGGGGAAAAGGTTACGGCTCCAAATTTCCTCTATCAAAACTGATGAGGGGGAGATCTTGGATGACAAAACTGAAATAGCTACTCATGCAATCAACTTCTTCTCTAAATTGTACAAAGAAGACTCTGTCTCTGACGACTCACACATCTTTAACTTCATCCCTAAAATTATAAATGAAGAGGATAACAAGCTGATCTGTACACTACCTCAAGGGGAGGAAGTTAGGAGAGCAATTTGGGACTTAAATGAACACAGTGCTTCTGGCCCGGACGGCTATAATGGAGTCTTCTTTAAAATATTTTGGCACATCATCCAGCAAGAAGTGGTTAGGGCTAGCCAGGAATTCTTCTTGTGCCTACCTGTCCCTAAATCCTATGGAGCCACACTACTTACCTTGATTCCTAAGGAGGACAACCCTAAAAGTTTGGGGGACTATAGACCTATCTCTCTCTCAAACTTCCTCTCCAAAATTAACACCAAGATTCTATCCAACAGATTGAGGGACCTACTGCCTAAACTCATCAGCCCTGAACAAACTGGATTCCAGGCAGGCAAGGGGGTGGATGAGAACATCTTATTTGCTCAGGAAATGATTCATTGTTTGGATAATAGCGGAGGGAGTGCCAATGTAGCTATTAAGGTTGATTTATCCAAGGCTTTTGATAAACTCTCCTAGAAATACCTTGAACAGATTCTTCTTTCCTTTGGGTTCAGCCATACTTCTTGTCATCTCCTCCTGGCAACACTTAAGGCCACACACTTCTCTATTCTCATTAATGGTGTCTCTCAGGGCTTCTTCAAAATGGAGAGGGGTATCAAACAGGGGGACCCCCTCTCTCCCTTGCTCTTCATCCTTGGCAGTGAAGGTTTAAGCAGAATGATCAAAGCTAAAGTTGCTGAAGGATTTCTCAAAGCTTTCAATACGGGGAGAACTCCACCTCCTTCACACTTAGCTTATGCAGATGATATCATTTTTTTTCTTAATGGCCATTGCAGGAATTTATTAAAATTCAAGGGACTCTTGAATATGTTTCTAGCAGCATCTGGACATCAAATTAATCTCAGCAAAAGCCACTTTTACACAGGAGCTAAGGTTAATCATGCAATCAAGAGCAATATGGAGAGGACACTTGGAATGAGAGAAGGGAAGCTGCCAATTTCTTACCTGGGAGCTACCATCGGCAAAGGAAAGATGAAAAAGGCACACTGCAAGAAAGTTATCCTTCACTTTGACTCCTACCTTAATACATGGTTTAGTAAGGTGCTCAATCAAATGGGGAGACTGATTCTTATCAAACATGTGCTAAGCTCAATTCCACTCCACATCTTGGCAGTCCAACATATGCCCAAATCCGTTATGGACATCCTAAATAAGAAAATGCAGAACTTCTTCTGGGGATACAGGGATGGGAAACCCAAATACCACTGGAAAAACTGGAGAAGTATGTGTTATCCCACCATTGAAGGAGGGCTTGGAATTAGGCACCTTGAGGATATAGAGGCAGCCTATTCTACAAAACTTTGGTGGAAGCTTCGAAATAATGGAGGTATATGGGGGGACTACATGAGGAGCAAGTATTGTATCCAATCGTTCAGTGAAAGAGCAACTGACTCAGTTACTTGGAAGAGAGTCTCTAGAATTCACAACTGGGCATATCAACACGTTGACATATCTGAGGGTTCTGAGGCATGGGAAGGGGAAGAATTCTCTACCAAAGCTGCATATAATGCTTGGAGGGACTCAAAGCCAATCTCAATTTCTTGCAAGATGATTTGGGATAAAACCCAAATACCAAAGATCAAATTCTTCCTTTGGAAAACTTTCAATAACCTTCTTCCATTCCCAAATAACATGTCCAGATTCAACATGGCAATCCCTTCAAGATGCAACTTCTGTAAACAAGGCACTCAAGACTCTAACCACACTCTCCTTCAATGTCCATACTCTCTGAAAATCTGGAAATTCTTCTCCACACTGTTCCAGGGCCCTCCCATCAACGGAAACTCCACAATACAGGAAGTATGTATGAACTGGTGGCTAGTCACTTATAGAACCAACATGCGGGAGAAGCTCACTGCCAACCTCCCAGGATTCATTGTGTGGGGCCTGTGGAAAGCATATAATGCAGAGACATACGAAGGAGAGGCGTTTAAGGAAAGCAAGATCATATTTAACATTATGACAACGATTCAACAGTGGTGCTGGGCACATCGTGGAAAGAAATGGATGATTATAGATGAAGATATGAGAACTATAGGTCTTCAGTCTTCTATTCGTAGAAGAATATTCCCATAGTTTTCTCTATTGTAGCATCATTGTCGTACTTAGGCTGGGAAACTTGTTTTATCCTACCCGCTCTTATTTGTAACCTCTTTCTTATTCCCTTTAATAAAATACACATCTATTAAATATATATATATATATATATATATATATATACATACATACATACATATATATATATATATATTATTTTTTGAAAGAAAATTTTATTACTCCGTAAGTGATTTGAATAAAAGTACAAAAGGGGTCACAGTGGATCGCCCCTCTAACAGATGGAGGTAACTGTGCTAATACATTGAATGATCGAAACAAGTTATTTGTGAGAGCGTAACGTGCGAGAGAGTGAGCTGCCGTATTTTCCTCTCTGATAATATGTCTTGCTAGACCTCTATTTTTTGCCAGCAGCTGATGAATCTCGTTACTAAAAAGGTCCTCCTGTTTATTCTCTGTGATTCGTTTCACCGCATTTTTTGCATCTAAGTGGATGTTGATGGATTGTGATACTAACAGCCCATTTGAGGCCCATTAGTGCAGAAGCCAATTCTCCTTCTTCACTGTTTTCTGTTCCTTGGATTATTGCTGACTTTGCTCCAATGAATCTTCCTGTGCCTGTGCGTAGGATTGCTCCGCCACACATAATATCATCTTTCACCGCAACATGTGTACTAAGTATCAGCCCTTCCCTTGCGCTTGTCCAGGGGAAGATGTGAATTGCCGGTAATGAAATGAATGGGATGGATTGGTGAGTGACGCTGATTCTCCTCTTTCCTTTTACAATTGTCCATTCCAACAACTTTTTCCAGATCATATGGATGAATTGGGTTTCGGTTTTTGATTCGTTGTCATAAGTTCTTCTGTTTCTCTCCTTCCAGATTTCGTGCGCTATGATGCCTGGAATCACCTTGCGTTCTGCTTGACTTTGCTGGTCAACACTATTGCTCCTCCACCAGAGCGACAGGTAAGAGCAAATTCCATGTGTTGTAGTTGTCGTGACCTTGAAACTAGATTCAAAGTGTGCCCAGATATTTGTAAATAATTTTAGTCTCGTAAAGTCTTTGGAAGACTTCAAAAGACAACTCAAACCATTCCATATAGACAAGCTATTAGATAGCTATTGGATCAATCTTATGTAGTGCACACACTGAACGAAGTTAAAGAGCATCATTGAGTTCTTATGAAGAACAAAGAATATCGCTGAGATATTGTGTATGGAAGATGAACTTAGAATACGAGATTACACTAAAGCTAGCTTCCAAGGTATCAATGATGTTAATTTAATTTTTTTGCAACAAAAGACATGCCATTTATGTGATGCTTAAAACAAATTTACATAATACTCCGTACATATTACGCCTTATATCATTATAAGAAATTGGAAGAAATTAAAAAAAACTGAAAAAACTAATTAAAACTGAAAAAACTAGAAAATTGCAAAGTAAAAAAATTAAAAACATGTCATTTTTTATTAATTCATTTTTATAATTTTTTTTTATTTTATTATTATTATTATTATTATTATTATTATTATTATTATTATTATTATTATTATTATTATTATTATTATTATTATTATTATTATTATTATTATTATTATTATTATTATTATTATTATTATTATTATTATTATTATTATTATTATTATTATTATTATTATTATTATTATTATTATTAATTAGGAGTCGAAAAGTGGCATTCGTGTACACCCACTCATTGGAGAAGCTGATGGACTAAGGTTTTATTCTGGCGAGAAAACCTCGTTTTTTTCTTTCTCTTTCACTCTCTTCTATGCAAAAATATAAATTTGAGCTAAATGAATCCCTCGTAAAAATCTAGGGAAGAGGTTATATCTCCCTTCCCTAAGTTGGACCAAAATTTTTTATTTGGGCTTGAACGATTATCGGCCCATTTACTTCAATGTATATCATTCATGCTTTTGAAATTTGTTCTAAATAATAACCATTCAAAACATGGTGTTAACATGCCATTTTAAGCTTTAGGCCCCGTTTGGTATATGGAATTCAAACTTTGGAATTGGAATTGGGTACCTCAATTTCAATTCTAGTTTTTGATAGCACAAATATTATGTGGATTTGGAATTGATAGTGCAAAAAATGAATTATAATTGGTGAATTCAATTCTATAGAATTGAGTCACGTGGAATTTTAATGCCAATTCAATTCCAATTCTATCAATTCCACATACCAAATAGACCATTAGAATTTTCCGAATTTTCAAATTGCAATATTGACAAATTTAATCCTAATAATCAGATTCAGCTCACAAAGATGCTCAAAAAAATGCTCATAAATGAATGGTACGATTTATGCAGTTCTGGACCCAATAGTGTTGATTGCCTCGTAGAATATGAAAGAGAGGATGATGTTGTCGATTGAGTGAGCAGACAGTCAGAAAGAAGATAAGGGTTTGAAAAATTAAGATCGTTCAAAGAGGGGGAGTGAGGAGGTTTTTTGGATCTATTGAAAGTCTATAGTGGATTAACATTAAATAAGAAATACGAAGTTAATGGATATTGTCGGTCATTTTTGTCCAAATCGAATGACAATTAGGTATTGACGAACGAGACTGAAATTCAAAATGCTAAAAACCCTAGACCGAAGACCGAACCAAAATCCTTTCGGTCCGGAACTATCAATCGATTTTAGTCTTTTATGTCCATAGTTTCAAAAACTGAACCTGATCGGCCGGTTTGGGCCGTGAAGCAGTGGTCCAACCGGTTCGGTCTAGTCGTTTGGGTGCAATCAGACTTGAACCGGTCTAAACCGGTAATAACTGGCCAGTCGAACCAATTTTTTAATTCTTTTGTGAATTTTTTTCAGAAATTCATCATGGGGGTTCGGACGTTTAATCTCTTGAATACTTAGTTAAGTTGTCAACAAACCAAGATAAAGCATTTTTTGTTACCTCTCAACTGGAAAATTTCTTCTGAACACTTGGCTAGAGGAGGATCAGATCACACTCCTATCCTATTAAGAATTTAAAAAGAAGTTTACATGGGGCCCACCCCATTCAAATTCATGAGCTGCTTCACAACTCACCACTCATTCATACTCGTAGTCAAGGATAACTGGGGTTCATACAACAGAGGGGGTATGAGAGGTCTAATGGAAAACCCCCCAAACTTTGCTGAATTCAGGCCCATTTGTCTTTCTAATTTCATGGCCCAAACTATTTCCAAATTCATGGCTTCTCGATTGTCCTCCATTCTTCCTAAAATCATCAGTCCAGAACAAGGGGGCTTTGTAAAGGAAATGCTCATTCATGACCAGATCCTCATTACCCAAGAAATGTTCCATGGTCTCTCTAATGACTGTCGGGGAGGAAACCTAGCTATCAAACTAGACATGTCTAAGGCTTTTGATAGAGTTTCTTGGATATACTTGATGGAAGTGTTGAAAAGACTTGGGTTCGGTGCCAAGTAAATGCTCCTCATCCAGAATATTCTCACCTCCACCTTTCTTGCCGTGAATATCAATGGGAAAAACACAAAATTATTCCACACTTCTAGAGGGCTGAAACAGGGTGACACAATCTCACCTTTACTCTTCATCATTGCCTCCGAGGGTTTTAGCCGATCTCTTAAAAATCTTATTTGCAATAAACTCCTTCAAGGTTATAGTATGGGGAGAAACTACATACCCATAACACACCTGGCTTTTGCAGATGACCTCATCATCTTCCTTAATGATACCTCCACCAACCTCACCAAACTTCACAAATTTTTAAAAACTTATGAACACTGCTCTGGTCATAAGATAAACCTGGACAAAAACAGCTTCTACCCCCCCCCCCCCCCTCACACAATCCCACCTCAGCGAATTGAAACCATGTCCAAAATCTTGGGAATGAAAAAAGGTGACCTTCATTTTAAAAACCTTGGGTCCAATCATCAAAGATATCAATAGAGCACCTTACTGTAAAGTTCTCATTGATCAGTTGGATAAGAAGCTTAAAGGTTGGTATAGAAAACACCTCATTCCTAGTGGTAGACTTATTCTTATCAAACATGTCCTCAACTCTATACCCCTCCAAACCCTCAGGGGGAACAAAATCCCTAAATCTGTCACTACCCTCCTCAATAAAAAGAAGTGCTCTTTCCTTTGGGGAGACAATAAAGGAAAAGACAAGTATCATTGGGCTTCATGGGACAAGATTTGTATGCCGAAAGAAAAGGGAGGTCAGGAAGTTAGGTCCTTGGCCACTCTACAGGAAGCCTATAGCCTCAAGTTGTGGTGGACTTATCATGCAAATAATTCACTATGGAGTCAATTCATGAGAACTAGATACCCCAGAAGTAACAACTTCATTCCCAAAATTACAGATTCCATTATATGGAAAAGAATTTGTTCTATATAAAACTTTGCTACTAATATCTTTTTTGCAGCTGAAGATGAGGACATACAATAGAGACCTATTCATCTCAACGAGTTCACACTAAAGGAAGCATACCAAGCAATCCCAGCACAAGAAGAGGGAGAGGAAAACCAAGACATGGAAATCATTTGGAAAACAAAACAAATACCTAAAAATGTTTTTTCAGTGGGGAATCTACTTTAACCTACTATGCAAGGAGAATCCTTGTCAACTCAGCGCCCATTATGCAAGGAGAATGAAGACTCAACACTTCACACTTTGATTCAATGCCCCTATGCACGAAACATTGGAAACTACTTTGAATGGATCTTCAAAATTCCATGGCAAACAACTCATGGGGTGAGAGCTCACCTGCAAAGATGGTGGAGCAACTACAATCTCAAGACGCTCGAAGATTGGATCAAAGGTATCCTACGCAGCAATCATGGAAACTTTGTGGCAGCCAACACATGAAACATCAACGCAAGCAATATTTTAGAAGNACAGACTCGGAGACAATCACAAAAGCAATGCATGGAAACAAAAACCAATGAGTTAATCGAGAGGTTGGACAGCTGTTTAACGAGCAATCCAAGAAGATGGAAACAATTTGCGTCTGATTTACAGAGAAGGAAATATGGGAGCACATAATCTAGCCAAATGGGCTAGCAAGAAAAATTTCTTTTCTCAATATATTTCTTTTTCATTTATCCCCTTCTATTAAGGGAGCCATTATGGCAGATGTAACCCTTCACTCCACCTATTCAAGTACTCCCTCCGTCCGGAAATATTTTTCCCGTGTTAACTTGGCACGCTTATTAAGGAATAGTAAAAAAATGCAAAATTTTCAAAAATGTAAATACTATAAACTTTTAAATATCCTTTTATTATTAAAAAAAATATTAAAAAAGTAGATTTGTGATCAAATAGAAGGGTATTATTGATATTTAGTCATACTAAAAAAAGGTAATGAGAAGATTATTTGGGGGACAAGAAAGTACTCCATAGAAGATTATTTCCCGGGGGAGTATTTCTCAAAACTACCTACGTGAATAATCTTAGCTACTCTGAATTTGCCAAATCTATCTTCGTCCTCGATCCAGCGACCCTCATTTTGGTACGACGCATTTTCTTCATTTCCCAGCTCATCTCAAATTCACTGTAGAGGTATGTAAAATCGATCTTCGTCGTCATTCTACGACCGCGTCTGGAATTTATTCTTCAATTTATAAAATGAGTGTCGATCGAAAGTAATTTCAAACACTACTTCAATTTCTAGGTTTAGCCATCTTCTTCAGCTTGAGAGAGTGGCCTTCATTCCTGCTTATTGTAGGTAACATTATCAAAAAGAGAGACATTAACATCTACAATTACTATTTAAAAAAATCAGACATCTAGGTTTTATTTTTGTGTCCATTGAACTTCATTCCCGCAATTGTAGTTAATTTCGCCCAATTCCTTGCAATGTCACTCTGTGTACGGAAACTTTACAATTTCTCCTTTTATGTCTCTTGTGTAACTGCTTCCCATCTCATGCAATTTGCAAATCAATATCCCATCTCATGTCTCTTGTGTAATGTGTTTTCTGATCTCAAATGTTCCTAATTTATGGCATGGAGTTTTAATGAAAATCTCAATTAGTTTTGATCAAAACTAATTGGATGTAGGCTAACTTGGTACGTAATGGACTAAATGGAAATGGAACATTAAAATGTCATTGCTTTCTACTTTCTGTAAATTTTGGGTAGTAGATGCAACAATGCATCTAGGGTGTAACGAAAAGTCAAAAGAGTGTCTCTGTTTTAACATAGATAAGATTGCGTACATCTTGATCCCTAGACTCCAATGGAGTTAGGATTGTAGTGGGTTGTTGTTGTTGTTGTTGTTTCACCTACCTGGAGTTTATTATTTAACAGACCAAACAATTGTGGTTATTACATGCATGTAAATCCCGTTGTTTATCTGGATTGCTTTTGTTACAGGTTGAGGAAGTAGCAGCTGGAAGAGAGCTGAAGGGAATGAGACATTCTAGCGAACCAGACTACTATTACGAAGATTACCTGTATATGATTTAATCTTGGAACAGGTTTGCAGTAGAGAACAAGCTGGCTGTATTATTTATTTTTTGGATATAAATGGTGGCCCTTGTATGATTCAATGGCAAACCGTAGAAAATCTGAAGTCTGAACTCTTCCCCATGTGATATTATATATAAATATAATCACTCAAAGAACTTCAACTATGTATGTATCTTCTGAATTGCAACTCCTGCAAATTCTGAAAACAGTTTTTGCCATTGAACCATTAGTTTTGATTCCATACCTGTGGCGTCTCTTGCTCCAATTAACAATGAAATTCAGCTAGGAATCTAGCATAATGTTTTCAATTTACAGTAAAGCCTTTTTGTAGGTAATACTCCCAGAAAATTGGCTATTTTCACTCAAATAAACTCTTCTTTTACATATTTGTATATTTTCTTCAGTACATTGCCTTGTTTCTCACAATTTGTTTTTTATCTTTGCCTAAAACATTTCCAACAGAATGTCGATTGTTCGCCGGATATATTCACGTATTTGTCCGAAACCTGCCACTGCATTTCTTTACCTTTCATCTTCATCCAGGGATGAAGAAGGGGAACGTTGTGCAGGGCGAGAGAATGTGAGTTCTTCTTGTTTTGATACTTTTTATTAATTGAATGTGTTTGTAATATTTATATTTGTAGAATTTGGGGTTTACAGGTTCCGGGCATGTCAAGGATTCATTCTACGTTGCAGAAATTGGTTTTGGGGGGTGAAGAGAAAGTGCCAGATGCATGTTTGGATCTCATAAGAAAAAAGAGCAAGTTTACGAAGATTAAGAAAAAGGGAAAGGTTATGAAGAAGAAGCACAGTCCCGACCGACCTGATGTGAAATGGAGGGTCCTTTATCCCCACGAGAAGATTGATCGCGTCGGCGATACTGTACAATTTTTTATGGGAGCTCTGGATATCTACCGCGTACCTGATTTTTTACTAACTTTTCTATTTTAGGAATTTATTAAATAAAATTATATTTATCTTCCCCTTTGTATTTATTGCTTGATGCGATTCAAACTGAATAGCAACGCTTTGGAGTTATGATGCATCAAACAAGTAGAGGGAGGCCACGAGACATCATCTCAGCAATGATATATAGGACTGGGTAGGTATAATAAGTATAATAATAGTATGCAATATGCAAATTGCAAACTGTATTTACTTTTCAGTTTTTTCTCACATAGCTATTTTAACAATTTGTTTTGACAAAGATAAATTTATTGGGATCGACTTGAGTGGCATGCACTGTGCCATATTGCTCATTGAGTAAGTTATGACAATGAAGTAGTGAATTTGTCATTTGTAACAACAAATATTTAGTTCTTTTGCTTATTATGTGTTTCTTGATGTTGTTACGTAGCAAGAGGGTCGTCTCTTCCGTCATATTTAGGGTAGTAGGCACAGACTTGGCGGAGGTTCCTTTGGCTGCAACAAGTGCGCAAGCTGAAGGACAGGTACTTTTACAGTGTGTGCATATTAGAACACTTTACATTCATTATTTAATTTATGTTGTTGATATGCAGGGATATTTTCAGGCGCTTTTTTGTTGTTTGAAGAAGCTATTAGGGTCCCTTGCAGTGAAGAATGTGGTTGTTTCTGCCTTGAAAGAAGCTGAGC